GCTTGAATTCTGATATGAATTGAATATTGATTACCAATTTCCATGCAGCAACCCTGTAGGGCTAAGCAAAGCTACTCCATATCTTTGATGGAAGCAGACCGCCGCATCTTTTGCTCATGGATCCACTGGTGAGTTTAGTGTGGTTTAAAAATTATGGCTCGTACCTTGATCTGTAAAGTAGAACACTTCCCTGAAAAATTAATTTTTTTAAAATACAGCTTTTCTTTATTGATAACATTGAACCTTTAGCATTATAATTAAATAGCATTAGATAGCCGACAGGAACTGAGGTCTAATAGTCATGTAGATGTCATGAATGTGTTTGGCCTTCAGGTTGTTGTTATGTGCCGTGGAGTCGGTTCCGACCCATAGAGAACCTGCACAGGGTTTCCGAGACTGTAAATCTTTATGGGAGCAGAAAGCTTCATCTTTCGCGGAACAGCTGGTAGTTTCAAACTGCCAACCTAGAGGTTAGCAGCCTGATTCGTAACCACCACGCTACCAGAGGTAGGCCCCCATTAAAGGTTCTGTCATAGAACCCTTAGTAAAACTTTTCTAAAAATTCCAGAGTGGATGGTAATCTTGAGAGGAAATCTTGTTTGCTTTCTAATTAATAAACTTCAAATATTAGGCCTAAAAGAGACCTTAAAAATTTATTCCTTCCCTTTTGAAATGTAAGATTGAGCAAATAGGACCAACTCTGGGCCAGGCACTAATATTACAGGTTTTGAAGGTACAATGAGAAATAAGATTCCAAGGTACTTATTTTTCACAACTTTTACCTCATAACAGATAAAGCTATAATTCAGGTACTGAGATAATTCAGCGTATGACTCAATGGCTTTTAGTATATTTATAGAATTGTATAACCACCACCACCATCAATTTCAGGACATTTTTATTGTGTCAAAAAGACTATACCCTTTAGCCATCACCCCGCATCAACAGTCACATAGACCTCCTATCCGGAAACAACTACTGATCTATTTTCTGTTTCTAAAGATTGTCCTGTAGTGAACATTTCATATAAATGGACTCAATACACCATGTGGTCTTTTGTGTCTAGCTCCTTTAATTCTTACCATAATGTTTTCAGGATTTATCAATGCATCTGTTTTTTTAAGGCAAATAATACTCTGTACTTCATTTACTTAATCATCAGTTACTGGACTGTTAATTTGGGTGGTCCACATATGAAGAATGACATGAATAATGCATTTTGTGTGGATGTATGAGGGTGAATCAAAAAATACTGCAACTAGGGTACTGTTAAAACATGTGCTGGTTTATTCCAAAGAAGACAGTTTGTGATCGATTGGTGGCTGGCTGCAGACAAGTTCTTTTAGCAATACACTTATCTTTCTTGTTAAGTGCCTTCAAGTTGGTTCTGACTCAGCAACCCAGCATAGGGTTCCCAAGGAGCAGCTGGTGGGTTTGAACTGCTGACTTTGTGGTTCCCTGTCCAATGCTGATCCTGCAGCGCCACACCAGGAGTCCATAATTAGTCTCTTGTTAATGCCATCAAGTCAGTTCCAACTCAGACACCCTATTTCTGAAGCACTAAATCTGAACAAAAAGTCACATCTCTTCTCCCTCGTTGCAGCTGGTGGTCTTGAACCGCTGATCTTGGGGTTCACGTCGATTGCTTATTCTACAAAGCTACTATGCTCCCTTAATATCCTTTGTTAGTGCCATGGATCAGTTTCAATGCATAGGGACCTTGTATAGGTTTCTCCAGGCTTTAAATCTTTTGTGGGAGCAGAAAGCCTCATAGTTCTTCCTTGGAATGGCTGGTGGGCTTGCACCGCCGACCTTGTGGTTCACAGCCCAGTATGTATCATGGAGCCAATGCATTCTCCTTTGTTGTTTTAAGTGCCGTCAGAGGTTCCAACTCATAGGGACCCAGTGTAGAGTTTCCAAGAAGTGACTGGAAGGTTTAAACCAATGACCTTATGGTTAACAATCTGGTGCTTATCTCACAGCAGTGCACCAGGACTCTTTAGTCTCCTTGGTGGCTATGTGCTGTGGAGTCAGTTCTGACTCTTAGTGACCCTGTAAATCTTTACGGGAGAAGAAAGCCTCATCTTTCTTCTGGGAAAAGCCGGTAGTTTCAAACTGCCGACATTGTGGTTCACAGCCTGACTGCTAAGTGCTACGCTACCAGAGCTCGTTTTAGTCTCCATGTGAAGTGCCGTTGAGTGAGTACCTTTAAAATATACATTGTTGTGTGTGTTAAGGGGGGAAAAACCAAAGATTTGGAAGTCTGGGCTAATTGAAACTGCATAAAGTTTATGAAAATGCTATTTATTATAAGGGAGGTGGCGAGGACCTCAACAATGAGCAGGAAGACTGTCAGCCTCCATGACTGAAGAAACAAAACAGTGGCTGAGGTCCGGAAACTGATGGAAGAAGACTGTAGAATTAACTGTTGATGTGACAGTTTCTGAAGATGGGAATCTCACAAAGTTGGACATTTTAAATTTTAAGTGAACATCTTGACCTCAGGCAAACATTTTGGAGCCAAAAGTGTGTGAAGATCAGGTAGCTCAAATAGCAAATCTGTCTAGCAGGTCTTTTTTCTTTTTTTTAAATTGTGAATTAT